CACCACCACCACCAGCAGCACCGCCACCACCAAGTTATAAGGGCTTATAGGGCCGGGAAGTATAGGCATTTTATTGCTGTCGGTTTATCGGGTGCGTGAGCATCGGATCCGGTGCTATGTCGGGGCCTGGGCTACGGTGAAGCTTCAGCAAGGGACACTTAAACACAATTATATAAGGGTTTCACCCATATGGTGTGAGTTCTGAGCTTCATTCAGGCTATTGGCGCTTGCATGCTTTGCACCAGTCACTAAACTGGACTCCTGTGGCTAGAATACTGCTCCTAAACCCGAGCCATCGATCCTATGCTGTCCCTAGCTATAATCCAACACACACCCCGGCTGCTTGCCCTAAACCCTAATCCTCCGGGCCTACTACTTAGCTGAAAACCAAAGCCTCCTATGACTTCCCCGTAACCCACAACGTCCTCGTAGCTCCCCCAAATCCAAATTAAATTTGCTGGCTCCTGCCAAGTCTCCCAAAACGTACTATACAGTTACTTCCCCTATACCGAAAAGCCCCTACCACTCCCTACCGCCATCTAACCAAAAAACTCAACCTTCAACTTGAGGTTAGCCTAATCCAAGCTAGGAAGCTGAAGCTTGGAGCCCCAAGCCTTCAGCATGAGTCGCTTGATCCGACACCAGCCGCCTGTGGACAAGCCCGATGAGTCCCATGATTTGAGTCGGGGTTTGTCTTGCTTTGCAGCAGTAGCTTAAGCAGGGACCTGGGTTCCGGGTTTAATTCATATTATATATAATATCGGTAGACCCCAAAACCCCGCCCAGCAGCCCAATCCCCAAACCCAAAACCGAGTCTAGCCTTCAGGCCCAGCCCAAGGCCCAAAACCCAAATACCAGCCAACAGACCAAGCCAGCCGCAACCGCAACCCCCCGCAACCCCCCGGCACCAGCCCAGCAGAGCCACAGACCCAGCCACCGGCCCAGGAAGCAGCCAGGATGTTTTTTTATCAATTTAAAAGGCCAAGAGGTGATTTTACCAAAATTGCTCGAACAGATTTACCCGCAATCCGTGCGCAAATTTCCGCAACCCGTGCGCAAATTCCCGCAACCGTGCGCAAATTCAAAAACCTCTCGAGGGCACCCCGCCCGAAACCGTTTGCACTGCTTAAGTTAGGCTAAGTGGGACTTATATGTGGCAGGTGTGGACTCAGGGCCTCAGGCTTGCAGCCAATTCGGTGGAAAGGTTTGTACAGCCTTGTCTGGGCAGCTCTTAGGTCCATGGCTGTCGATCAACAACCCTAGCCACACACCGATGTGTGAAAGAGAGCTCCAGCTTCAGAGAGAAGAGGGAGAGAGAGAGNNGAGAGAGAGAGGGAGAGATAAGAGAAGTGGCTTCATCAAGTGAGTCCTAGTTGATCAAGTACCAGGGATGCAGGGCAGTAAGTCTGCCCCTGCGCGACAGTGGTCTTGTGCAACGCTAGCACAGGGTGCCTCTTTGCTTCCTACAGCAATGGCTAGTGGTGGTGATCAGGATGTGCAAGCCATGATCAAGGTGCTTATGCTTATTTTGAGTATCTGTTTGGAATAATATGTAATTAATAACCCCAGTAGAATCCCAAACTTATCGAAGCAAGTCCTAGCTTAATCTAACAAAACAAGCCTTTCCCTAAACCCCAATCCCATCCAAGCCAGCCCTTCAACCTTCAACCCATCCCAGGCAGCCCGGGAAAGGATCGATCTGCTCCAGGCGAGCCTGTCGAAGAAGAGGGCAACAGCTCCCAGTGTGTGTTCCAAGCCTGCAGGTGGGCCAGGGGTCAAGGGATTTGTTCGGTTAGGGGTCTAGGGGATCAAGGGTTTAGGGGTTCAGGGGTTTAGTCAAGTTTGTCTGTGAGTGTGCATTTTGGCTTCTCTGTGTGTGTGTATACCATGCTATATGTAACTAGAGTATATCTTGGGCATATACATACCTCTATACTATTATGTGACATATGGATTATCTATATATATATACACACACAC